TGTACTCTCACTAACGACATGGTGGAAAAGATGAAGCCAATGAGGAAAGGTGGAGGCCATTATGTCGCCGGAGCGCCCAACAATCAAAGCTCTACGAACACCAGCTACACGCCAGGTATCGCGATGCACCAATTTCCCGTGGATCGCGCTGTGAGAGAGAAATGGTTGAAATTTGTGCAGCGCCACCGAGTAGATTTTCAAAGAGCCGATTTCAAAGCATGCCTCATTGTGCTCCGTCCATTTCGAGAGGGGTTGTTACGAAAACAGCTGGCATTTACTCTCGAGGGTATGGCGCACGCGAAGCGGAATAAAGTCCTCATCAAGGGCTCTATTCCCACAATACATGCAGTTGTGTCAGAAGTTTCGGAAGAATTAACGGATCGCAAGAATTAACGGATCGCAAGAAGCGTCAGGTAAGCAGTGATTTCCAGTCATCTTTCGATAAGGTCAAACGTAATCGATCAGAATTTATTATATTTTGGCTATAGTTGAGACGTGATGTATTGACAGAGTACGAAATGGAAGCGAAAAAGAGGAAAGTCGAAGAGGCGAGAGCATCAAGTTCTAACCCGTTAGATTTTCACGACGTTGTTGATGATAGAGTTGAGAAAAATCCGTGCTCCGATTCAAGTGACATTCATGAGAGCTCCATCAATACAATTTCCACTGCATTCAATGTTACAATTGCTGCTCCTCTTCTGGCATGTACCACCCATTTGACTTCACCAGTTGCCTCAACATCCGCAAATATTAGCTGTATAACGCTGATCAGTTAAACACCTCTCTCCGCTGTTACTCCATTCCGAATTTTAACTCTGCAAGGCAGCTCTTGTCAGGTGGGTACTATTCGTAACAACCTTCTTTGCTTTATTATATTCATAATCATGTTCTTAAATAATGAAATGCATTCATTTACTTCTAAAATATAGTTTTCTGTTCCATTTTCAAGACTGTTTTTATGATTACTCTGGAACATATGGGCATATCCTCTTGTAAGCCAGACTTGAAAAATAGCAGAGAATTGCTCAAATTGCACACAGTCACTTTCACTATCTTCAAAGCAACTAGGGAATATAGTAGATAGGCATCAAAGTAAATAATAGGGTATCATATGATTCAAATGACCAAGACACACTTTAAATTTTGCAGAGTTGATTCTGACACTCCTGGGTATGATGAACCCAAGTTCATCATGTTCTACAGCATGCTGTTGCAACTGTTTACAACGTTCTGTTTCAACTGCAAAGGAAATTCTCCAAAAGCTACAATGAGGCAGTGTGGAACCCTGGTCAAAGTGCTTCAGACTTGTTCACAATGTCACCAAGAGTACTCTTGGAAATCACAACCAACTGT